AGCATACTTGCGTGGAGTTGAAGAGTTTCTAGATATCTCATTTGAGCGAGTTGGGAAGGATGGGCGTATATATTGTCCTTGTACTGATTGTGGCAATTGTATAAAAAAAACACGTTCTGAGGTGAGAGATGATTTGGTGTGCAATAAGTTTATTCAGTCATACACAACTTGGTTTTATCATGGGGAAGAAGTGCCATCATCTTCTCGGCAAATTGATGTACACACAACACATGATGATATCAATGCAAACAAAAATGATGATATGCAAGGACTCTTACACGAGGGTTTTGGTGTTCCAACTGAAGGGAGGGAAGAGACCAACGGAGAAAATGATCAGCACCAAAGGGTGTCAAATGAAAAGTTAGATAAATTTTATAGGCTATTGGAAGATGCAAACCAAGAGTTATATCCTGGGTGTAAAAAGTTTTCAAAGTTATCCTATATAGTGAAGCTATATTTAGTGAAGACTAAATATAATTGGAGTGACAAATCATTCACTGATCTGTTAAAAGTGATAAAAGATGGATTACTAGATGGCGAGACATTACCAAAAACCTTCAATGAAACAAAGAAGATGATTGGTGACCTGGGTCTTAAATATGATAAGATTCATGCATATCCCTCTGATTGTATGTTGTATTGGAAGGAGCACTCTAATGATGAAATGTGTCATAATTGTGGCAAGTCAAGGTGGAAAGTTTTTGATTCAGAAACTGAGGGCAATGCAAGTACATCATCCTCATCAACAAATAAAAAAATTCTTGCTAAAGTTATACGATATTTTCCTTTGAAGCCAAGACTCTAAAGATTGTTCATGTCAAGTAAGACAGTTTCTTCTATGAGATGGCATGCCGAAGAGCGAATCAAGGATGGATTGATGAGACATCCCGCTGACTCCCCAGCATGGGATAGCTTTGATAAAAGTTACCCAACATTTTCTAGTGATCCTCGAAATGTCAGGCTTGCATTAGCAACTGATGGGTTCAACCCATTCAAGACCATGAGTGTTGCACACAGTACATGGCCTGTTTTGATACTCGTGTATAACTTACCCTCATGGATGTGCATGAAACAACCTAATTTTATTCTATCAACCTTGATACCTGGCCCTAAGGGACCTGGAAATGATATTAATGTCTATTTGCAGCCTTTGATAGAGGAATTAAAAGAGTTGTGGGTTGATGGGGTGGAAACTTATTATGCTTCAAGAAATGAGATGTTCCATATGCATGCAGCATTGTTTTGGACTCTTTCTGACTTTCCTGGTCATGCAATGGTATCCGGTTGGAGTACAAAAGGGTATTTGGCTTGTCCTACTTGTAACAAAGACACTTGCTCTCATTTCTTAGATCATAGCAAGAAAATATGTTATGATAGGCATCGTTGTTTTCTTGAAAAAGATCATAAATATAGGCATTGTAAATCAGTATTTGACGGCACTGAAGAGGTAAGGTGTGCACCGCCTATGTTATCTAGACCACAATTGTTACATGAATTAGAGGGCCTTAAATTTCCACCATTTGGAAAGAGTGTGCATATAATGAATGAAGATTGGAAGTGTGAAGATCGGACGCGACCGCCGCACAATTGGAGAAAGAAGAGTTTATTCTTTCAATTACCATATTGGAAGTATAATCTTCTGCGTCACAATCTAGATGTCATGCAAATTGAAAAAAATATATGTGACAATATACTTCACACATTGATGAATGATCAGAAAGGGAAGGATGGATTAAAAGCAAGACTGGACCTACAGGATATGGGAGTAAGGCCTTCACTTCACCCACAAGAACGTGGTTCAAACAAATTTTATTTGCCTCCTACAAGTTTCACACTATCTTCACTTGAAAAGAGCACATTATGTCGAGTGTTGAAAAATATTAAAGTTCCAGATGGGTATGCATCGAACATTTCACGTTGTGTGAAATTGAAAGAGCGTACAATTAGTGGGTTGAAGAGTCATGATTGTCATATCTTGATGCAACAACTTCTAGCCATAGCCATTCGTAGGACATTGCCTAAGAATGTTTGCTCAGTACTTGTCAAGCTCAATAACTTTTATCGAGAGCTGTGTTCAAAGACTCTTCGGCCTGAAGACTTGGATAAATTGGAGCACCGGATTGTTTTAATACTATGTCAGTTGGAAATGATAGTCACAGATAAGGAGTAAAAAATAGAGAAAAAAAACCAATATACTTGATACTTAATGACAATATATAGTGTACAACTCATGGTATCATCTCTTTCTTGCCTCAAACTTGAAAGATAGTTCAGCTAACAATATCAACTTTTCATCAATGAAATGATATTAAAATTTTCCGCATGTGTTGCACCTCTCTTTTCACAAAAATTGTTGGTTAGGGACCTAGGGTTAAACATACTCCATTTCTATATCCTGAGATTGACTGTATGGTGAAAAAAAAAAACACGGGAACAAAATTTGTCAACTTACAAAACAGAAATTGTTCAATAAAAAAACTGTGAGCAGAAACTATTTTCCCGGTGATCATAAAAAATATCCCTCTAGACTAGCCAGTCCAATTGCACTTGAAAGATTGGTCTCTGCAGGAGGTTTAGGTTGTTGTAAGGCCAAAAATACATTGATAGTGCAATCTCATCGACAAGAATACCAAGCTTCAGACTTTTACCCACCCATACCATGATTACCATTCATATGAGCTGCAAAAACATGAATGTGGCTCACGAGCATGTCTAATATGTTCGAAGCAAACTTTGGGTTTTCAATTGTCAACTGCAATTCAAGTGAACGCTCAATATCTAGTCCAATAACTATTATTATTATAATAATAACAAATTCGTAGTTAATTATCTGAATATATGAAAATGGTAAATAAATTCTAAACTGAATGACTAAATAACATTGTGTAAAAGCATGAATACTAAAAAAAACACTAGAACTACACCATTCGAAGGAAGCTCGGTGTTTTAGGAGCATGATCAGTCATACAAAACCAACAATTTTTTTTAGCAACATTCTTAACTTGCTTACCTACTTCTCCATAATAAATGGAAGAAGAAAATTGTATCATTCCTAATTTGGGATTGGATGTATTCCAATATACATTTAAATTGTATTATTTTTTTTTCCTGGCTTCATGCTCCATGAAAAGAGCTTAGAACCTGGAATTTTATGACAGCCAGTTCAATTCTTCTGCAATTTACTATTATTATTATTATTATTATTATTATTATTATTCCAAATTTAGCTACAGAGAAATGGAGTTTAAGTAGGGTTGAATATACAAGAATTTACAACTCAATTAGGATTGCACTACTTAATCAGTTTGTTGATGGCACTTCAGCCTCTCCATTGCAACTGTTATTGCACAAATTACTTTGATTCTTTCCTTCCCTTTCTTTCCTATTTTCTCTCCTTCATAATGTTCTACTTTTTAGATTTTTATGTTACAAATGTTTTATAGGAAACTATTAGATACGTTTGGATACAAGGATATTGTCTAAGAATGTTGCATTACAAAAAAAATAAAAAAAATTAGAAACAAATGCTCTGGGTGTGGCCAAGAAAATCACCCTGAATTCTTCAATTTAATGTGTTCCTCTCAACCCCAATCATCGAAGTCCTAAAACAAAATAGAAAAACATCTTTCAAAGGCACACCTCTGTTTAGTTTTCAAAGTTTCAGAATGTACTATTTTATGTAGCAAGCAATGAATCCATCATCTATGATGCAGTAATCACAAAACTGAGTCTAGAAAAAACTGTAGTGCTTCACATTTTTACTAAAGTTCATTTTATTGGCTGCAATTCTCCACAAAGAGAGTGTTTTTATTTATTAAATTTTCCTCATAAATCTTCATAATAGTGGAACAGAAGAATAATGATAACACCATCTATAGTGAGAAAACAAGGTCACTCAACATCCTAATTCACAAAATCACAGGACAGAATGGCAAGTATATTATTTAAAGTCCATAATAGTAATTATATGTATAACAGTTTCTGGATTCCTGTTCTATCATTCATTTCATTAGATTTGTCTGGATGTTTCATAGTAGTATGTCATGGTAGTTCAAACTTTTTTTTTTTTTTTTTGACAGGAAAACATAAAAGTACTTCAAAAAAGTTACTCTGACTCGCCTATTAACAGTTCCAATGATTTGTTCTCTATTGTGAGGGGAGAAGTAGGGGTGGCAATTCGTGTTGGCGTGTCGACACGATTACGACACGGACATGATTAGGGTTGACACGAACACGACACGATTATTAATCGTGTCTAAGACCTTTGACACGAACACGACACGATTATTATATATGTAACACGACACGACACGCATAACCTGTTTAATAAATGGGTTAAGAATTGACACGACATGAAAAAACACGTTTAAGTCATTTTTTACACGAATACGACATATTTATTGTACACGTTTTGCTAAGTGGGTCATTTTTGACACAAACACGATACGTTTATCTAACACGTTTAGTTAATCGGATTAATCGTGTCATAATCGTGTTTATAGGGTCAAACACGAACACGACACGGTTAATTAGCGGGTTAATCCGTATCGACACGATTATGACATGAATACGATTAGCCCCAACCCAAACCCGCTTATCTCGTGTCGTGTCAAATATTGCCACCCCTAGGGAGAAGAGAGAACTGGTCGTGTGCGAATGCTTGGCTTCGGGCACACCAAGCGATGTTTGGGGGCTCTCTCCTAGTAAAGCTGAACTGATTAATAATGCGAAAAAATCTGATGAGGAGGCACGTGCTGCACGCGTAGAGTTACAGGAGACCATTTCAAAAATGCAAGCCGACTATGACAACAAGTTGGAAAATTTACGAGCCAACTATGATGACAAGTTGGAAAATTTACAACAACAGGTGGCTATGCTAATGCAGATGCAATAACAAAATTGTAGCGGACAGGTATATTTATTATTAATTTTATTCTTTACTAAATATATGTTTACTTATGCCAAGATTTCATGTATTTTGTTTTCTTATTTTGAAGGAATCTGATTCGTTAAATGCTTCTCCTAGAGTATCCCCAAATTCATTATCTAGTCGTGATGCCAATTCAGTTAAGGTTATGAACTTTTAATTTCTCTTATATATATGTTAAATTTTCATTTATTATAATGTGTGCGTTATGAATTTATAAAAAATGTAGGGTAATTCAAATCAAATGGGCAAGAAGACTTGTTGAAGTTGAAGATGGGGTCGTGGCTGTGCTTTCTGAATTTCCTTCGCCTTGGATGGGTTCTTTTTGAAAAACTTGTACTACATTTGTCAAAAATTGTTAATTCTTTTTGTCTGACATTTAGTAGCTTTATTTAGACAATTTGGATGGTATATTGGTAGGTTAACTTGTGGTTGTATTAGTATACATTTTTTCTTTTTGGTTGACATTTACCAGCTTAACTTGTGGTTGTATTAGTAGCCAATTTTGATGGTAATTTTCATATTGGCAGGGTTAACTTGTGGTTGTATTATGTAAAAATAATTTGGATGGTATTTTTATATTAACTTGTGTTATATTGGATGACATTTAGTAGTTGGTAGTTCTATTGATATGTTTTTTCCAAAAACTATAAGGAAAAAAAAAAAAAAAAAAAAAAAAAAAAGGACCCTTTACTAGCGCTCTTTTAAGAAGCGCTAGCATAGGGAGGGAGGAAAAAAAAATTAAAAATACCCTTTACCAGCGCTTTAGCAAAAAAGCGCCGGTGAATAGACTCTACCAGCACTTTTGCAGAAAGCGCTGGTAAATACTCTATCCCAGCGGCGCTGGTAAAAGGACTTTACCAGCGCTTCTGGAAAAGCGCTGGTAAAGGCCTACCAACACTGGATTTGCTAGCGCTTTTTCAAAAGCGCTGGTAATACTAGCGCTTTTTAAGACTTTTACCAGCGCTTTTGAGCTAGTAAAAACCAGAACTGTTGTAGTGGAATATTAAATTAGCTAGTAACAAATTTATGATTAATTATGTCTACTACAAAAATTAATATTTATCAATCATTATGATTGGGCCACTTTGGTAGCTTCCAATCTTCACATTATATGAATATTAAATTAGACAGTGATTAATTCATCATTAAGTTACCCATTTAACATTATACACACATACTCATACTGATCGATATAAATTTAGGTAAATTCGATTCCAAAAATTTAATAGTCCAAAAATTCAATAAAAGTATTTTTTTACTTTATATACATAATAAAATATATTATTTTTATTTTCAGACTTGAAAATCATAATTGAATCAATTTAAAATTGATTCTCCATCATGTATGTATATTTGGGTACTAAACAATAATTTATTTGTATGGCCAATAAAGTCAAATTTCTAGACTCACACATTATTCTAGAAATTCTAATTTCTAATAAAATAAATAAATATATATACTTTATGTATTTAATTATTTATTATTTTTCAGATAATTAAAAAATAAAATCATTTATATCATCAGACAATAATTGGTAAAACAATGAGCTTTTTTCAAATAGCAACAAGATGCCATTAAAACTTTCAGCAATTAAATCAGGCTTGAAAATTAAGATACCCAAGTTAGTTTGGTGTTCACAAAATTCATCCATAATGATATTAAAATTAGTATATAATAATACACATATTCCTCTTCAAAATCATGTACGAAAAGGAAACTTCTTCATCTTATTATACAAGTGCATACATGCATTATTAAGTAATTGACTTTCAAGCAATTACATAAAATTCGGAAATCTATGTATGGAAACCAAAATTAGCACACAAAACTTGATTCAAACAAACCCACGGAAAATACTGCTCAAAACATATCCACAATGCGAATTTAAAACAATACATTATTCCAATCATCATTATATATTAAATATTATTTATGCAACGTTAAAGAAAAATAATGAATCCCTAAACTTTAAGCTCTGATACCACATGTAAACTTTAATAATTCGTGAAAACCATTAATCACAAATTTACATGAATCTCATATCTTAGAACTTCATGATTTTTACATATCTATAATGCATAAATAAATAGTTAAATACAAATACCTCGATCTGTAATTGTAAAACTCGAAGAGATCAAGGCAAACGTTGAGATCCTTTGTACGGAACGAACAACATGTTAAACTGCAATAGTCAAAGCGTGGAAACCAATTTCTAGCGTACATAATTGATGGAGAATATACACTTTATAAAGGCAGAAAGAGGACCAGTTTTCCTTTTTAGTAACCTTAATTCCACTTTCCATCACAGTAAGGAATAAATAGGAAAACACTGCTCCAATAATTAATTACCAAAAAGGTAGTTTATAAGTTGACCAAATAATATAATATTAATGTGAAATTTATTTTATTTAACCACCAAATAATAGAATTAAATTACGTGTCCAAATCATATAGGTCACAAATATAAAAAAAATATCTTACAACCACATCATAAAAATCATCACACATTGACATGCAACCACTTATGTACCCAGATCTTTGGTAATGTTGTATGTGTAAGTGTCACAACCTACTACCGTGAACTTATTTTTGGTGGAGGAGAAGGGAAATAATGTGAAAAACGGTGAATTGTAGGAGTCAATCAATCCACCGGATTTGTTGTAACACGCATATGCCCCTAACCAAGTGGAGACACGCAACTCGCCATTAAGTGATATGTCAAGGACAGTTAAGTTGGAAGTAATGTTACTGTCTAAAAATAAATAGTAGTAGTAGTAGTAGTATTCTGAATCGAAATAGTTGTATCCTAAGTTTTTGGTTGCAAAATATGACTTCGAGTCATTACATGTTATCAAGAACTCATTTCGACAACAGTCCGGGCTTGTGCAGAACGGGTATGGAATGGTATGGTTCCCACAACTTTGTGGGCAACCAGGCTTGGCAAGAGTTGTTGAGGGATTTGCTGCATTGACTGCCAACTCCACTACCACCACCACCACCAACAACATCGGTAGCAATATTTGTGGAAAGCTCATGATTGCTTCTGATCTCTTAAGTGGAGGTTATTCTTTGTAGAATATTTCCTTCTCTAGTCTAATGTGAATATTTATAGGTGGCAATCAAACTTTGAAAACAGTTAGTATTTGGGTAATTTCAGTGAAGACGGACACAAAACCGCGTAAGACGACTAGTCTTCTCCCGCCAACCCTTTATTAATTGGCGTGTTCTTTCCAATAACATGCCAGCAGCTTCTAGACGAACTTTCTTGATTCCAATCAAAATCTTCTCCCACTCGCTGGTGTTTTGCCTGAATTAATTTTCCGGTGCATGGAAATAGTAGTTGACAGTGGCCTGATTGTGAACATGACCAATTGTAAAGATTAATGAGTTATGTAAGTAGAAGGGCAGTAATACTCATGCCGAAACCGAAAAATTGTGATGAATTGCTTTATGTTGTAGTAAATTGGTTTAGTCAACGCTACATAGTCAATAATTATCAGGACAACAGTCACTGAACCTAGTGTGGCTGAAATAATTCCTATAATAAAACAAGCTAATGACTGAGTCAGACTACAAAGTCCATAGGCCAGTAGTATTGGGGTCTTCAAGACTTCACTTCAACCACACATTGTACTCAATTTAGATAATGGAGGAATTTTGAGTTGGGGCTCGGAGCAGGTGAATTCGTACACACATAATCTGGCAACTAACATCACATATACGGGATATATTACAATAATTTAAATTGTGGGGGTTAGTTTTTCGGTGATTTCTCCCCCAATCAAAAAAATAATAATAATAAAATGCCCACCTCAAACCCTCTCATTTCACCTTTCATTGGAGGTGTAAAGCACTTCAGATTTCTCACCTCTCTTGTTGATGCTGTACTCATGTTGTGCCACGGGGACATCAATTCAACTGAAGTCCATAAAGATTCTCTGGATATATAACTTCAAAAAAACTCTCACCTTGTCCCTTCGTTGAGCAAGAGATACAACTTTTTTAGTGGAGTTTCTGTTGATAAAATAGATATCTCAAATCTTCTTATTTACTTGTGGCTCCCTACCAGATAGATATTTAGGCATACCTCTTTTAACCTCAAGACTTAATGCTGCTGACTGTCAAACACTCATAGATAGCTGAAGTAAATAAATGAACAGCTATAACACTTTCTTTTTCAGGGAGACTTCAACTCATCAAGCCAACATTATTCAGCATGCATATTTTTTGGACAAACATATTGATCTTACCTGTGAAAGTTTGTGGTCAAGTAACTCAAATTCTTCAAAGATTCCCATGGGCAGGACCTAATATTAGTAGATTCATATCAAAAGCGGTATGTAGTAGGTATGCAGTCCAATGAAATTAAACCGGTAGATTGAGATTACATGATATCCAACTATGAAACAAAGCACCAGTGTTGAGACACCTATGGTCTCTACGTTCCAATGAAGAGCACCTATGGAAGACATGGACAGAGGAGTACCTAATCAAGCAGATGAGCATCTGGGACATCAATGTTCCTAACAAGTGCTCATGGTTCTGGAGGAAACTACTTCAAAACAGACACTTTGCATAGCTATTGATCAAGCACACAGTCAACAATGGAGCATCAACTAAGGTGTTTTTGACAACTGGCTGCCCTGTGGACCTTTATACCAGCTATTAAACTCAGACTCCAGTCATAGATAGGGATGGTGTATCAACAAGCTCATGAAAGTGTCTCAACTACTTACCATTAACCAATGGACATGGCCTAGGAACTTGTCTAACCTAATTTCTCCACATTGTGATTTGTTTGTTCTTACCATGCCTAACCTTCTAGTTGAAGATCTCATACTGTGGACACCCTCACCAACAAAAAAAAAAATTACTCACTCAAACACACAATCAGAGCCATCTCTCATCCACTCCCAACCAAACAATGGTACAAATTGGCCTGGTTTAAGCATCTAATTCCAAAGCATTCTTTTTGTCTTCGAATTGCAATTCAGGAAATATAATTAACTCAAGATGGACCATCCATAGATTTCACAATGCAACCAAATGTGGGTGCATTGTGTCTAAAGACTGCAGAGAGTCATGGACACATTTTTCACTAATGTTCATACTTGAAATCAATCTGGAATGGATTATAGCATACATGTAGGTTCTATACAAACCCTAATACATGGCAAAACTTCCTAATTTGGGCTTCTTCAAATTGGAAACATAAAGCAAAGTTTGTCAAGATTCTTACTTGAAAGCACTGGCGGATTGAAGTGGGGGATTGGGTGTGCTCAAGCCCACCCCAAAAAATAATAATAATAAAATAAAATTTAATTTTTACCATACCTAATTTTAGCACAGCCCAAATATATATATATATATATATATTATCAGTATTAGTCCACCCAAGCCCATTGACAATTTCTGGATTCACCCTTACTTGGAAGCTCATGTTAGCAAATTTTGTATACCATATATGGAGTGAAAGCAACACAGGAAGTTTGCCTCCATCTCAGACCTTCAATGCAATCATCAATTTAATTAAGTTTAAATTGTTCTCCATGAAGAAATGCTCATGTCCTTGTGTAG